AATTATGGCACCACATGTAAACTACATAAATCTTTGCCAAATCTACTTCTATTAAGCGGATAAAGAAGCAGATAGCAAACTCAAAACATCAATAAGTTGAGTTTCTATAGTTATAGAAGAGGTCTTCTTTTAAAATTTAAGTTTTTCTTCAGGCGTGTTGATTAATTTTTAACAATTCTCTTATGACTATGTCAATAAATTTTAATATTTCAATGTAGAAAATGACTGCTACGATTTGTTCTCCATAAAATTAAAAATTAAAAAGCCTTTTCCAACAAACTTCAGCTTCCTTTTTAGCAAAGGTTAAACATTTATTTCTGTTCTGAGAGTAATACTCGCGTAATGCTGAAATATTTTAAGATTTAGCCACTTCTATGAATGAGCATTCTATATTCATTCCAGCACCCCTCTTGCCCAGAAGAAAATGTACCAACAGTCACAGAAAGCTCTAGTATATGTTATGTATGCACTGACTATTAGAAAGCAGCAGGGGGAGCACACAATGAAAACACTAAGAAAATGCACCCCAGAAAAGAAACTTAATTTATAGGCAACAGAAACATGAGAGATATTTCTGGAAAAACAAAACAAAACAAAAAAAACCAACAAAATAAATTCTGTTAAAAAGTAATGATAACATTTGCAAAGTTGGCCTACACACATCTGGAATAAACTAAAGAAAAACCTTAAGTCTTTTAGAAGGATGCTTGAATCCTTACGTCAAGACAGGCTTTCAGCTTGAAGCAGGGTAGTTTCCAGCAATGCCAACCAAGCCAAGGAACTGCCCCCAAATTAAAAAGGATAAAAAGAACCAACACATTTTTATAGTGGCATACTTTAAGGGGAAATAAAAATGATTTTGTTTTCTCCTTCAAACATTACTGCACTTATACTGAAGGCCTGGTGACATGGGCATTATTGGGTCACAAGTGGATAAAGTTATAAGGGTTCCATATCATAATCCTTGAAAGCCCTGAGGCTTAGGCACTTGGCCTGCCTTCCTTGAATCCTCAACTGACTTTCCATGAGAGAAGGTAACCAAAAACACTGTGAAACTACTCTGCATTAAAAACATCTAAAAAGATATTTTAGCTTTGCGAGCTCTGTATAAAGGGATGGAAATGTGCTCACCAATCTCACATTGCACTTTACATGTTCTAAAAATTATAATACTAAGGGCTGTGTTTTCAGTTTCAGAGTAAAACAAAAAGTATTTGGCTCTTCTCTCTGGAGTTCTGTAACTGGAATTTAAGAAAAGGCTAAAATTCTAATTAGAATTTCAAAACATTTATGTCTATATTATACCAAAAAGTGTAAATATAAGTCAAGAATTTTTTATAATATAAAAATGTGCATTAAAGATAGTTAATAATAGTATTATTGAAATTCATGAAACTTAAAATGTCAAACATAAATTACAACTGAATGGTAAAAACCAACAACAAAAACATATTTTAGCCAAGTAAGCAACCAATGAAGTTTGACCTAAACCTCAAATAATAATACCAATAACAGGAATAGTGATTACTGTTGTCAGACACTATTTGTTAGCTAGTTGTATTATACATACTGTTTCAAACTCCTATGTTGACTTTTCAAAACGGATATTATTGTGTCTATTTTATGGTAAGGAAATTAAAGCTAAAAACGTTTTTCATTTCTCTAAGTTAACTCAGTTAGCAAGGAACAAAATCATGATTCAACGTCCAGGTCTGTCTGCCTCCAAAAGCTTTGAGACCTCCCTCAATAAGCTTCCAAGGGCAATCTGTACAAATCTCAGGCAGATCACTGTTGCTTATGAGGGTAAATGCTGTAGATTTAACTACTCAAATTAAATGCCATCTGGAGCCTCTTACCCTACTTGGTACAAGCATCCGACATGTATTACAGCCAACTCTGGCCTTGGCCAAGAAGTCAATAATTTTCCAGTCTCAATACCATCAATAAGCATTACGCACGTTATAGTACCAATCAGGAAATAGAGCTAGCAGCTTCTAAAGCATCTTTTAAAAACTGCTAATAATTTAGATTCTTTTCATTAAGAGTTCTTAAAACGTGAAGAATCTGTTAACCCAATTTGTTAAATGGGTTTAAGGAATCAATTTCCTGCTTCCTAACACCGAAATCCACCTCCATAATAATCACTAATAATCATGATAGGGATATAGTGATTATAGAGACATAGTAATTATTTATATAGTTTTATATATTCTCACAAATCCTGATCTCTCACTAGTATTTTAATCTATTAGAGTAAATAAAAAAACAAAAACAAAAACAAACAAAAAAACCTCAAGAGAGAAGAAAACAGGAAAACGTCATGACTTTTCAAAGGAAAAAGCAAATAACTTGAAAACATTGGTTGGTTTACAAAAGTACTGGTAAAAAGAATGGATGCTAATAAAACAAATAACCAAAAAGGTATGTTTCAGACTTATTCATTCATGCTCAAGAGATATGAAACCACCTAGTAGACATGTGATGCAAGCTGTCACAATTCCAGTTCAGACTTAGGTTCGCTCACTGGACCTTCAGATCAGCTGCTGCAACTCAGTTTTCAGCTCATGTGGATGTGACTTATTCCATGCCCTTGTTATCAAGCAGAAGGGTCACTTTACAACCTTTACCAAGAGCTTTTTTTTTCTTTTCTTTTTTTCCTTTTATGTTAAGCCTTTTTCATCTATAAAAAAAAGTCACATGAGCTTAGTACTCATTTAGAAATGAATGGGTTAAAACAAAAGAAATGAATGGCTTAGACATTAAAGGGTTAAGCAACAGCTTCAGCTGAGTTAATTGTTTTAATGTTAAAAATATTGGGTTGTCAGAAAAGTCATGACATATTTTTCTATGTGTTTCGTTGCAAAAATGCGTCATGACTTTTCCAACAACCCGATAGGTGTCCTGTCAATAATCTTTCAACAGCAAGACATAAACACTGCTAGAATGACTATTGATACATTTTGAAAAAGTCTTTTCTCACTTAACCCAGATTTCATTTCAACCAAATACAACCACCTCCCTGTGAATTAACTCCAAGTCTAATTTGGGGGTCTTCACTATGAAGATAAAACAAAAAACCCAAAAAAAACAAGTAAACCCAAAATACAACAAAAAATAACCTTTCTTAAGTGGCACCTTTAAAAAACAGGAATAATTTTGAGCAATTATTATGAGCTGAAGTTTTATATTTTATCTTAAAATGCAGATAAATTAATTTCTTGACAGTTGTCATTTATAATATAGTATTATATTTCCTGTTATTTTAAATTAAAAGATCTCATTATTAAGAATATGGATTTGAGGGGAAAGTGTAGCTGCTCAGGTTCACACAGCTGAAAAAGTCTAGTCATATCATTGTGAAAACATCAGCAAATGTGTGCACATCTTATTAAGTGCCTTCAGATTCTGCTCCTGCTTTTACTACACAGAGTTACCCAGAGAAGAGAATTAGGAACTGAGGCCCCCTACAGAATGGTCCCATTCAGCATGTAGGACACTGGAGATGCGCCTACTGCTATGATGAATCAAAGTATGAAAGAACGATTTATATTTTATAACATTAATCGATGAACTAAGAATTTTTTAGACAGATAAGAACAATGGCACCTAATGCCACAGCAGGGAGTAGGAGAGCAAAAACCAATCATTGTGATGAGGAGCCACACCAAATTTAGAAATGTGGCCCAAATGACAAAAAAGAAAAAGAAGAAAAAAGGAAGAAAAAAAGTTCAGATTTAATCACTAGTGTGTATATGCGTAGTTTAGTGTCAGCAGACAATGGCTGGAGAGTCTTTTGTTTTATTTGAAGGTAACATTTCACTTAAAAACAATACTGTTTATACAAGCACTGTTAACAGATGAGAGAAGTGGCTGACATGCTATGGTAGTTTTGCAAACTGCCTGGAAAAAAACATGTAGGATAAAAAGTACAGTAAGCAAAAGGAGGGGGAAAAAAGTACAGCTCATTAAAAGATAGGTGCACATAAACAGGAAAATGGCATTACCTTCCTAACTTTGTAAATAGGTGGCCAAAAATTAAATGTCTTTTAAGAGGCAACTGTTACTAATAGTCACACAAAGTTACCAGTCCTTACCGCTGAATCCCTCAGCCATTTGCATCCAGCATGTGATGCCTCCTTTCCTATCCCCTCAGCCAATAGTCATAAAACGCAAACATAATCCCAATTATTTCCTTACACAACTAAAGACAAGAAAACAGGAATTCCAAAAAAAAAATACAGCAGAACAGGCAACACTCTACCTTGCTTTAAGGCTGTGTCAGGCTGAAGGTTGCTTCTCAGCCCCCAAAACTCCATTAACCACAAAGACCAGCACTTTGGCACAAATAGTACAAACACCCCATTGAAGCATCACCGTAACTAAATGACCTTAGAAAACTGGACTTTCTCTCCAAGATTCAAAGAAACAAAGGTAAAAATTACAATGAATTTTCTAACTTTGTTGACGTTCCCTGTGTGCACATATGGCCAAGTAAAGGCTCAGTTTTTACAGGGTACTCTGACACCTAGATAAATGGGGGTTAAGGTTCCCAGTTCAGTTGAAGTGCTACAGGGGGTGACATCCAAGAGACTGCATTGACCTCCAGCAACTCTTATTTCCAACTGGGAATCCCAAGAATACCCTTACACATGCGATGCCAGTGGACCCGGCTGGGTTTCTGCTGCAAGGACAAAGTGTCACTTACAAGTCTTACCCCCCTCCCCCTTCCAAAAGGACACTCACTCTATCCTGGGGGTGGGGGTGGGGGGGTACTGCAATCAAACTATGCCAAAGTTGCTTTTGCAAAATGTTTACTTTATCTAGCGTGAATGGAAGAGTGAGGGAAGACACAGAATCAGGAACCTCCCTTAGAAGGAGCAGAACCGCCAAGATGCAGTTTGACAAATCTTTGTATTTCCAGGGGCCACAGGGACTGGTAGCTTCACCAGCGTGGGAATCACCAGCCTCGGGGCCTCCGTGAGAGCAGAGCTGGGGCTTACCTTGTTGGAGGCCATCTCACTGACGGAGTGCCTGGTCTGCAGGGTCTCTAGCTGGTCCAGACACCAGTCCAGCTCCTCCAGGGTCTCGCTGGCCAGTTTCTGGTAGGCCTCCTCTGCGAAGAGATAGGGAAAGGGGGACTGAGTTCTCAAGCGTTTCACGGGGCCGCCAGCGAGTTCAAAGGGGGCCATCCTGCCATACCCCGCCATGCTCGGATGCCCGGTGCCCGCACATGAGGGCTGCTCCTTCATATTGCCGAGCCAGGCACCAGGAGGGGGGCCGAGGCTCTGCGGGCGGGGCGGCCGGCCTCGGAAAAGCACGGTTTCTCCAGCTTGGCGTCTCAGTTCAGTGTCCAGGGAGGGCGCACGAAGTGCATGCAGCAAGCCAACTTTTTATGCGGAGACAGGGACCAAAACAGCCACGATGCGACTCATGGAACGGTGCGGCGGGCCCGAGTCCCAGTCCTTGAGGATGGCGAAGGGGGTGGCGCGTGCGCCGCGGAGCCCGCCCCGCGGAGGGCGCGTCTGGTCCACGGCCGGGGCTCCCCGGCGGCCAGCCCGGAGCCTGTCCCCGCGCCCGCCCCGCCTGCCAGACTTCGACTCAAAGCGAATGAATCAGCCGCGGCCGGGTGCGCGGCCACCCCGTTTCCTGTTTTCTTTCTCAACTCCTCGGGCGGCGGGGCGCAGCGCGTCTCGATCGCGCAGCTTTCCGGGAACGCTCCCCCTCACGCCCCTCGTGGCCCTCGCGGGCCCGGCCCCCCCTCAATTCCTTTATTACAAAGAGATTCCGAATTGTCATCGCCCTCCTCCCACCCCGCGCCTCGTCCTTGCCCGCCGCCTCGCCGTGGCTCCCCTCCGCGCAGCCCAGCGCCGCTCGCTTTGAAGCGGAGCCGGACAGGCGCGGGCGCGAGCGAGCAGGGCTGCGGGGCTGCGGCGGGGCTGCGCGAGGGGGACGGAGGAAAACCCGGCGTGGAGCGCCCGCCGCCCGCCCG